ACCGGCGAGCGAAAGAAAAAAACCCCGAGTGATAGACCCTTGCAAGGGAGACTGATATTGATCCATTCGTAGTTAAAAGTGATGATTGCAAATATCAAGTAAATATCGATTTTACAAGTAGAAAACGTAAACGCCTTTTTATCTTCTTCAAAATTGGTTCTATGAAAAGGATTACGGACATGGTGAGTATAATTGGAGGCTTGAATCTATCACAGATCATAAGCCGCTTTATGTCCGTCAATTATTTGATGACTTGGGTAATTTTATCAATATGGTAGATCCGGTTTCTCTTTTTATAAAAGGAGTTGAAAATTGACCAAATTCAAGACAATCAAATTGTATCAAGCTATTCGAGGAATATATAAAAACAAATTTCTGAAATATATCAACGGTCAGTTCCTTAAGAAAAGTATACAATTCATGATGAAATACGACATATCGTAAAGCGAAATAATATTTTTATTATAAGATAAAAAAGACAAACATGACATTTATGAAAACAGAGTTTATCTTGAAACAAATTTGAACATAAAACTTAATTGAAATAAAGAAACCGAATCGATTTAAGCAAAAATTGCATTTTAGCCAATTAATTATAATAACAATAATTTTTAATTAGTAAAGTAATTTTAATTAATAAAAGAACTTGGAACAGACGAAACAAAGACAGAATTAGTAATACTAATATTAAAAAAGAAACATAAATCAAAAATCCAAAAAAAAAGACTATTTATATTTTCTGGGTTGGAAGAGGAGAAAAATTCCGGACATGTATTAACCATTTGTCAAGTTGTTTTTTTTTTCTTAAGCCCCAAAGGGCGAAAGATGGATTTTGGGTCGGTGGGGGTCATATCTGTAGAACTTTATTGCCTCAGACAAAATGGCAGAACGAAAAACATGAAAGAAGGTCGGGGAAATGCTGGAAAGCAAAAAAATAAAGAACGAGGCACGCATTTATTTAATCACGCAATACTTGAACAAATTCAGTCTCTACTGTTTCATACAGAATCGATATTTTCTTTAACGGATGGAAATTTTTACATATATTCAAGATAAAGACTTAATTGATTGATTGGGTTGCGTTTTACAGCTTATCAACCCTTTGCAGGTTATTTAAACCTAGAGAATATTTTTTTTAGATTGTAAGAATTTATTTTCGAGAATATAGTGGTTACTATACCTGTGCCTGGTATTCCCAAGCGGTCACCCGTCTAAGAACTGACCAGGCATATCGTTGCTTACCTTTGGTGGTCATACGAGAACCGATGTTTCAACGTGATCTGACCTGTAAGTCAATGAAGACTGATATCAAACTACTATATACACATGTTCTTATACAGAATGTTGATAAATGTATATGCTCATATGTGTGTATGTATGCATGTATGCATATATCTAAGAATGCGTGTGCATGTGTGCATTTATAGGTGTATACCTATACGAATTTATTTATGTATGTGTGTATGTATATATAAATATAATGATTCTTATTCTTCTATGTGCTGTATCCATTTTGGATATAGGCGATCGTGACTCTCCACAACTTTCTAACATTTGGGGTCTTAATAAGATTTGTCTTTTAGTTAATCTCTCACGATCAGTGTTCCGCCATCCATTTATACAAGCTGCTCGTTAGAGATATGCAACTAGTTGCTTATTTTTTTTGACAATCCTCCCTTCACTATGTGTTGTGAACGTCAAATTCTCCAGTCCTTCTTTCCTCATTATGTACCATAGAAATCTCTCCCTTTTTCTGATTCTACCTATAAGCGTCCCTTTATATTTTCCTTAAAATTTTCTCGTTATTCACATGGCATTCTCAACATCCTCCTGTTGCACCACATTTTTGTTGCCTCAGATCTCTTCTTCATCTATGAGAATATTGTTCAACATTCCCTATCATAGAGAAGGAGTGATAAATACATAACAGTTTATTACTTTTCTTGTTTCTTAATTCTTTGTTTAGCTTTTGAAAGACATCTTTCGCTATCCCAATGAACCTTTGGATTTCGGTGCGGGATTTTCCGTCCTCTGTTAAAGCGCTTCCTAGATATTTAAAAATTTTGTACTTGATTGATTTTGACATCTCCAATATGGATTCTTCCAAACTTGCTGACAACCATAGCTTTTGTCTTCTTGCAATTGACGGTTAGTCCTTTCTTCTCATTTTCTTTTACTACCTTCTGTAGAAATGCCTCTAGTTTCTTTTCTGTGTCTTATATCAACACTGGATCATCTTCATATCTTATGTTGTTAAGGTTGTGCCCAGCAATAATAAATCCAGGAAGGACTATTAATTTTCTCAGGATCAATTCGCTGTAAAGATTAAATAACTCCGGTGAGAAGACACATCATTATCTCTTGCCCCTTTCTTTTTTTCTATAGCTTTCATTTTCTGCTCGTATGCAGGAGATTTCCTCCCAGTATAAGTTCTGGATTATACGTTAAAATGGCCACGAAATCGTCATTTTTCTGACATTGAAAGAGCAAGAATAGTAACATTATACGGGGATGGATGTTCCAAGTGTGAAATTTCAGTCCAAATAGTTAGCAAGGCTTTAGTTCATAATACAAATACAAACGTGATGACACTTTGGTGGTCCCAGATAAACAATAATTCGAGATGATCCATCTATTTTATGACTTCTTTTGTATTTAAACAGAATTTATTTTCTGATAAATGTAGTGTTTTAAATTTACACACAATTTACATTAGAAATCTGATGATCTTGCCATCAGCGAAGTGAAATATACCTCACTATTATTATACAACTAATAAATACTGTTGTAATTTTGTATAGAAAAAAGTTGGATCCACGTAAAAACGGCAATAGTTATCGTCGACTAATAGATTAAAAGTGGGTGACATTTCGCACTTCTCATGGTGACATGATGATGTATAGCGGTTGTTAAGAGAATAGGGAATGGGTGGCGGTGTTCGCTGACAAAATTTAATGTTTCATCTATTAGTGGTGCTAAATAAAAATGAAGATAAAACCACTTTTTTATTATTCCCACAATAAACCGTACTGATTCCAAGTTGATGTAAATTTTCTGTTGTCAAAACCTAACTTATGTCATCGTAAACACAAATCGACTCACAAACGCGTACTTCATGTTCACCATTCTTTTTTTAGTGCATAAGTGTAAACAAACAAAGAAAACCATTTGAAAAATTATTTTTTGACTCTTGAAAAGGCGGCCATGAAGATGTAAAGTTAAGATTATTTCGCTTTTATGTAACATGATTGAGTTACCTACATAGACGAAGGAGAAGATGTCATTTGATCCCAATCTCAAGTGCTTTTGTTTTATGGCTGGTCGATGGCAACTTTGAAGTTGTCTTTTGTAAGCGGTCGCCACTTGAGCAAAAGGTGAACAAAAGAATAAGAGTCAGTGAATGAGAGATTTTGAGGTTAAGCGACAAGAAGCCGGAAATTGATGATTTCTGGCCGATGGTCTATATTAATACTCACAGGATTGAAGTAATCAGTTCTGGTTTTCCCATGGTTGGTGACTGACTGTCCCTAGGGTAGTTCCGATGTCACTCATTCGTATTGTTCGCCACATATCGGTATGTTGAGGTAGGCAGAGAGTTGGTCGGAGGAAGGATCTAAGGGAAGAGCTGATCTGTTCGACTGACGTAGCAGAAGTTGTCCAAGTGTCACCTAGCGACCCCACCCAAATTGAACAAGTGAAGCCTTGAATAAAACATTTAGTAATATTGAAAACAGTGTTCGAGTACACGTTTCTCAGCTTGGCGTTTGTTCTTAGCTTTCGTTTCCTTGTGAACGTGCAGTGGGCCCTTCCCGCTTTTTGGTGTACACTGACGTTGACCACAATAGAAACGCATTGTGGGGTAGTCATTGGCCAGTCGTGGGTAAAAGCGGTGACAGTGTCACATTGCATGTGTAACATCTGAGCTCTTTTACCTGGCCAGTGCATCGATCTCACTGAATATATATATATATATATATATATATATATATATATATATATATATATATATATATATATATATATAAACACAAGGGAAATTATATTTGTATACTTCTAAAAGGTTGAATCAAATTTTCTTTTTATTACACGTAAATAGTTTCTTGTCTGAAACTCGTAGGACCAGGCATATTTCTGAAATTGAAATTTTTCAGATTTCGGTTGCACATGTGACGCATATATAACAGACAAATAAATGCCTAAAAGAAGATAATCTTTCTACGGTGCAGGCTTACTGAATGTAATAAATGAAGACAAAACATTCAATTACAGTCAATATCTATACTAGTAAATGAATGATAAAAACAGCCCATGAAATTACTGGCTTGTTTGTTTTTCCAGGGAGGAAATATTCAGTTTGGGCAGATTTCGATTTTCTGAATTGTGGATAAGAGATTGTGAACCTTTATTGACATTTTGTTAATGTTTTGTTAGCAATATTAAATATTGATTTATTAGCAATATTAAATATTGATTTGTTGATAATATTAAAAAGAAACAAACAAATATTTGTTGTTAATTACACTGGGTGTGGCAGAAATACATACCACATATCAGTCAATTATGTGCCATGCTTGATACACGCTTAGGCGATCATGTATCTTTCGATACATGACTGACGAGGCAGATTTTTTTCCGCAGTAGTTTGCTATTTCTTTCTGCGGTAGACCAGTTGCCATCCAAGGCTATAGAACCCGGTCTGTCCTGATATTTAGCTGGGGTAGAAGAAGAGGATTTATATCTTTCCCAAGGTTATTAGCACGTAAGTGAATGTAATGGATTCGACTGGAATTCGAACTCGGCTCTCCGATTCCTCAATCCGAACCACTATCCATTACTCCACCGTCCCACATATGCATCCCACATAATAAGACGTTAGTGGCAAAGATGGCTTCATTTAGCTAATTTGGGAGATATTTCTGTCGCACATTGTATTTTCAACGATAAACAGGTGAGAAATTTTTATTTCCTTTGTGTTTTTTATTTTATTTTTTGATTTTTATATGAGAGGAATTGGTGTAATATTCTCCTCCAAGTAAGAGGAACTGGGCGTGCCAGTGTGGGATAATGGTTAGCGAGCTGGTTTAGTTGATCCATTTATATAATTGCTTATTTTCCATCGGCGTCAGGTATTGATTTTAAATCTTGATTTTCAAGGAAAACCAGAAAGCCATTTTCACTTAGTAGGTTGACGGACACAATCTTCCTACTCGCTTTTGTGCCAAATATAGCACAGAAAACATAATTGACTTCCTTGCTATAGAAGAGAAAATTTAGTTCATGCAATGGAATTTTTTTACAGATGGTCATCCTGTACAAGGCTCGGGAGCCACTCGATGTAGAGGGTTATAGAGCAAGGGGAACAATTTATACGAATAGATGAGGATGATAATGGTTAATCCTAGACGTGAACAGGTTAAGATTGTAGTGATCGGGGAAACATCCTCTTGGGAGTCGGTTCCACAGGTCAGTGGAATACGGAGGCAATGTGGGTGGGGGTTGTTACTATGTAATTGGCATGGTGGAAATAAAGGATGTACTTCGTCTGAACATATTCCAAATAGTGGTAGAGCATCGGAGGTCTTGTGACGTTTCGTCTCTGGGAAAGGGATTGTAGGGTGGAAAATGACTTATCACTTACAAGGACGCGTGAAACTGGAAAGTGATGACTGGATAGTCCCTGCCCAAATATGACAGCGGTACTCCATTTTAAGCCGGATCTGGCCTTTGTAAAGTTAGAAGATAGCATTGGAGCTATATAGGGGAGCCGACCATTTTCCCTGTATATTTAGCGATGGATCGTAGCTATTGAGATGTGTTTAGTGGCTCATTGATTCTGTGAGTAATGGTAGCTAGGACATCAGCAGTGGATCACGTCAATCGAAATCTGTACTGCTTGTCGCTCAAGAGATTTTCATGTTTAGGTGATCAACAATATTCTTGTTGATTATAGCTTCAAAAAGCTTGCTAATTGCACGGAAGAGACTGATGGGTTTATACTAAGAGGTGCATGAGCGCTCACAAGCGTTCTTTATAACCGAGCATACGCTTGACACCTACAAACCTGGGAAGAAATTCTTCTTCAAGCAGCGGTTAGATAATGCCGCTAAGATCTGGGTTACTTCTGGGTTGACAACCACCGGGATTTTGTCCGTGCCAGTGGCTTACTTAGGGTCAAGACTTTTGATAAGTCTTGAGAAATCCCGGGCTGTAATAAAAAATATTATTGAGATCGTTCTCAGGGAGACGGGGGAAGTCGGGAACGTGCTGTCCTATGTTTTCTAATATTGAGTTACAGGCAAAGATTGTGACGAAGAGCTTCGTCTTATTTCACGAAGAAGATATGATCTCTGGATCATTTATAATAGGGAATCATCTAGAACTTTTGGGATCCAATTTATTTTCAACCTTGGCTTGGACCGCTTGTGCATAAATACACCTTTCCTTTTTCACAACTTTCCTGCACAGCCATTGTCCAAGTACACTGCTCGTTGTGATAGATATTGGAGTAATGGTTACGTTTAGATATGACTGCAGCGCATTCAGGGTGGGGGGACCAGGGTTGGCTGTTCAGTTTTTTCTAGAATATCTTTTTTTGGGAATTAAACTCTCTATTCCTGAAAGGATCTATTCTGAAACGAGGGCAGCGATTTTGGAGACAGTATGTTTGAAGAAAATTAAAAGAAGAGCTTCCGCCTTATAAAATCTAAAGCTGTTCAAGTCTGCGTTTTGCGTAGAGAAAAATTGTTCTATGGAACGGCAAATAAGAAGATGCCTTTGGATAGGAAATGGTCTGATGTACCTTTTGCGAAACATAGTAGAGGGTCAGGATATGAGGAAATGGTCAAGGAGGTTCGCCTGATGTCATGTCGATTCAGGAACACGGGTGGATTCTTCAGTGATCTGTGTTATTTCATAAGCAATGGGGTAGTATCTGCAGTATCTGCCTTCTTCATCGGTTAAGTTCGAGTGGACAAACCACTCTTTGTGGTGAATATTGAAGTCACTACAAATATGAAAGCTTAGCCGAGGGAAATTCAGTGAAGATTTTATCAATCCTCTTAGATATTCGATCGAAAATTAGCCTGCCATCATCGCAAGAACGGTAGAGAGTGAAACTAAATATGGAAATGAATGCGGAAGCACATATATGAGAGATCAGGGCCCTTGAGTTTTACGTCACCACCACAGAGAAAGCGATCCTTATTGTAGATGCCGTCCTTCACCCTGGCGATTTAGGTGACAGCTTTTGGCTATTAGGGTTATGTAGCCAGAAACTATGAGATCATGCAGTGGATTTGAATTCGTATTATAAAATAGTCGATCAAATGTGAAGCTGCTGGCATTTCCATCTATCTATCTATCTATCTATCTATCTATCTATCTATCTATCTATCTATCTATCTCAGTCTGTTCCTATCTATCTATCTATCTATCTATCTATCTATCACACTCAATTCACGTCTATCTTTTTAGTACTATTTACTGACAATCGATTTTTTAAATATTTATTAGAAAATGAAATAATGAAATCCATATAATCTTCACTTCCTACCGCCTTCTGTTACATACATATCACGCATCTCATTCAGTATACTTCTACATGGAGTGGCTCATTGGCCTTTCATATGTGTGAGCATTAATATAAAAAAGCACTAGTGCAATACATTCGAGTAGTATTGAAAAGTTCTCAGATCGACCCACATCCCAAGCACTCTTTCTTCTATGAACAAAAAGAATATCCAAGAATACGTAGGAAAAGAATGACTGAAATAACTGAATTGCAAGCCATAAAGTATTTTTCTTCGATTTCTGGTAAAGCAATAAATCATGGCGTGAGCACAAAATGAATCTCGTCGTTTGACACGTGACTTCACGAGAATATTCGTAATTATTGGTCCACTTTAGAGAAATTGTAAATTGATCATTTCACCAGCTGTTGGATAATCCTCCTCCAATGGAAAAGTCAGACAGCGGATGAGAAAGAAAAGAAAGAAAGAAAGAAAGAAAGGAGGAGTAAAAGTGTTCATGTGTGAAAGAAAGAAACAGAACTCTTGTTAAAGAGGAGGAGGAAGAGGGCGAGAGGGAGGGAGAACCAATGAGATTAGAAAAAGGAAAACGGTGAGGCTGTGATCATGTCCTGTATTCGACGTACAGATGCGATGTGGATATATGTGTTTAGAAGATATAAAATCATTGGAAAATGAATCAATGAAAAGCTAAAAATCTGATCATGGCAACTTTCTGCGTGTGAAGGTTGATATATTACCGATACGAGAATTTTTTTTTTGTCTAAACGAATTTTTGAATTTTTTTGTTTCTTCCCGATCGCAGTCTTTTCATTTCTACTACCCTGCCTGTCTGCTTGACTATCTATCTATCTATCTATCTATCTATCTATCTATCTATCTATCTATCTATCTATCTCAGTTTGTTCATATCTATCTATTTATCTATCTAAGTCACTTCATGTCTGTCTGCCTATCTATCTATCTATCTATCTATCTATCTATCTATGTCGTTTCATATTTATATATCACAGATCATTACGGTATATATAAGAAAAAAAATTCCGAATTTATCTATTATTTTATTAATCTATTTTAGGATTCATATATTAATCGACGAATAAGTTAAATTGTTCTATCTATCTATCTAGCTAGCTATCTAGCTATACTTTTTACCAAAGTCAAAGCATTCGTGTATTTGTAAAATCCACATTACCCACTCTGTACCTATTGTTTTTTCTGTTCTATAAGACACATGTACAACTTGATCCCTCAGTGATTAACCCATCATTGAAAATGTCAACTCATTGTACTATTGGCAAACAAACAAAGCATTGGAAAACAAAAGAATATATGCGACCGTCTTATACGTTGCTAAATCCAGGCTGTCAAGCTCAGTACATAAATATGAGCACTTGTTATCTTATGTAGAGCGATATTTGAAAAGCCAAGGCACCTCGAGGTGGTGTAATGGTTAGCAAGCTTGGCTCGCTAGAACAATTACGACTGAGTAGTGAGTTCGATCCTCACTGGGTGCCCCCTAATTTCGGCCTTGTGCCACATCTAATCTACGCTTGGAAAATCGCTATTTGAAAAGCCAATCTCGCGGTTAATCAAGTCTTGGTGCTTCACATTTGTTGTCCAGCAAATCTGTAACAATAACGTTTAAATAGATAAATATGTATAGAATAGATAAATCTAGCAGTACTTACACAACCGCCAGTTATTCCAAAACATAATATAAAATATTTTCAGTTTGTCCAATTCCAAATGCTAAATAATTATCCTTCAGTATGTAACATGAAGGAACTCGACTATAATCGGGACGCTCACATAAAAGAGGATGACAAATAATTTTATTTTAGTCTTAAGTCTTTTGTGTCTTTTATTACCAACAGTAACATCTGCGTAATGGGATCTTCAAAGTAACCAGCCACTTGATAAAAAGTGAATAAAATAAAATAAAATAAAATAAATAATATAAATGAAAACTTTTGGAACAAGTGGTACGTTACCGGACGTTAAATATTTCCGTTCACTGACATATAAACTATCTGAGAATTGAGGCTATTTCCGTCGGTGGATGTTTAACTGAATCTTTGAATAAACAACCATATATACTGAAAACAGGATTTGAGTTTTCATTTCTCACCGTGGAATTAATTACCAACCTTTGTTTCCCTGTGAACCTGCAATAGACCTTTCCTAGTTTTTGAACGTGAACACAAATTGAGATACAGCGGGGCGTTATTTTTCCGGTCGCTGAAAAACGGAGAGAAAGAAAGAGAGAGTGCATGAGAGAGCGAGAGATTTGTCTATTTACAAATATGCACAAAATAACATTGTTCAAGTAGTTATAATTAACAAGATAGAACAAAAGAAAAGTTCCAGAGATTAGAATAACAAAGATTTTATAGAATAGCCAGATTTATAAGAGCCAAAAAGAAAACATAATGTACACTTCAGTCGGTCTATCTTGATAGCCGCAAATCAGTAATCATTTTGAGAGTCGCATTAAAATCTGTATTGAAATCATTAAATATGGAGACAAATCTGAATTGTTGGTAAAAAAGAATTATTTGTTTCTAGCATTTTTGTCAGCGTAAGCTAATCGGATAAATAAGCAACACAATTATTCAGTCATTAATCCATCCTTCTTGGTTTTCTTTTGAGTTAAACAATCATTTAACGAAATTAAGGATTTCATTATAAAAGAATTATTTAAGTTATGATTATACAACTCTTTAAATGGTCTAGATATCCTGGCATTCTAAAAAATTCTGTCTAGAAAAAGAATGCTATGAGGATATGGCAATTTTCTAACCGTAGGTGAGATGTGGAACAAGGGCGAAAATATAAAGCATATATATGAAGTAATGTTGAAATGTATTCAGCCTAACCTACTTGGGGAATCGTTTCTTGGTGCTGAGAAAATTCTATCACCACTAATATATATTATGTTCATAAAGATTAAAAAAAAAGAAAGAAGCAATACAACAGTGACCAGTTATGTGCAGAATTAAAATAAATGATGATATATCCACCCAGATTAAAGGGAAGATGATAAAAAGATCACCCGGTTATATGAATGCCAACATATTTTCTAGGCTCTGGGAAATGTCAAATGTAACGTACTCACTGAGATACAAGTTATTAAATACGAGAATAGAAATGATATACACGTGACAACACTCAAAACAATATTCACTGGTAAACTTGACCCTGGATTAATAAACAAACATATATATATATATATATATATATATATATATATATATATATATATATATATATATATATAAGAAATATACTTTCTTAAGGTGTGCTATATTGATGGGATAAAGTGCTGAATATCAGAGATAGAGCGTGTGTAAATATAAAAGTAAACATTGAAGTCAACACTTAGAGGCGACAGGCTGTTCTATGCTAGACGCAATCTTCAGGCCACGACTGTTTTTTTTTTTTCTCGGCTATATATATATATATATATATATATATATATATATATATATGTGTGTGTGTGTGTGTGTGTAAAATTCTTGCGACTCGAATTTGGTTATTTAATGTCAACTGCCCAGTACGCTGACAATAACTATCAGTCATCATTTCGTGTTGATTTCGATATCCACACTGTCTATATCTATCCATTTATCTGAATAGAAATACCAGAAGATAGTTTCTCTCTTCACCACTTGTATAAATGAAATATATGTGATGTGATAGGTTAAAGTGCAGTATAGCTGAGACTGTTATAGGAAGCAAATGATATTAGCGATTTATGAATACGGAATGATTGCATACACTATTTCTACGCTGACAATGGCTCTAGGTATTTTGTCGAGGAATAGCAATGAGGTTATACCAGTAATAAATGAATAACGGATGGACATCGTTTAAAAACTGCAAGCATTCAGAAGTGAAGCAAGAAAAGGGCTGCCGATAACTGATTAGCGAGGGAGAGTAATTTTTATAACTTCATGGGCCGATTTCAACGCTAGTTCCATTCAATTCATTAGTGAATGAAATTTACAGAGCGCGTACATTTCATAAGTTTCATAGTTGTTAACAACGAGGGGGTCATTTTTTATACAAATGCATTGATCAACTGTGGTCTAGAGAAGCTCCCCAATGAACTGCTGAATATTGGCTCCTTATTGATTGGTTAGAGAAATCAAGTTTCATCAAATGATCGCTGTCATTGCATAATCTGTTGGCTGTTATATTAACTGCTTCCATCTTAGCGAAATTACAGATGAAATCTGTTATGTTGAGTCGTAAGTAATTTCCGATTTTCTTTATGAATTTTATTCTTCAAAAAATAAAGCATAATTACATTTTATTCGTTTCTATATTCTGCATTATTTGCAGGGTGTTGTTGTCAGTTATTCGACAGCTCTTCGAAAAATTATTTTGTAAAGATCAAAAAAAGTCATAATCTGTTGGTAAGAGAATATAGCGGTTGGGTTAGAAAGGTTATAATGAGTTGGCGTTCAAGGCCAGGTGAATATGGCGGTTGGGTTAGAAAGGTGATAATCAGTTGGCGTACAATGCCAGGTGAATATAGCGGGTGGGTTAGAAAGGTGATAATCAGTTGGCGTACAATGTCAGGTGAATATGGCGGTTGGGTTAGAAAGGTGATAATCAGTTGGCGTACAATGCCAGGTGAATATGGTGGGTGGGTTAGAAAGGTGATAATCAGTTGACGTACAATGCCAGGTGAATATGGCGGGTGGGTTAGAAAGGTCATAATCAGTTGGCGTACAATGCCAGGTGAATATAGTGGGTGGGTTAGAAAGGTCATAATCAGTTGGCGTACACTACCAGGTGAATATGGTGGGTGGGTTAGAAAGGTTATAATCAGTTGGCGTACACAGCCAGGTGAATATGGCGGGTGGGTTAGAAAGGTCATAATCAGTTGGCGTACAATGCCAGGTGTATATGGCGGGTGGGTTAGAAAGGTCATAATCAGTTGGCGTACAATGCAAGGTGTATATGGTGGGTGGGTTAGAAAGGTCATAATCAGTTGGCGTACAATGCCAGGTGTATATGGCGGGTGGGTTAGAAAGGTCATAATCAGTTGGCGTACAATGCCAGGTGTATATGGCGGGTGGGTTAGAAAGGTCATAATCAGTTGGCGTACAATGCAAGGTGAATATGGTGGTCGGGTTAGAAAGGTCATAATCAGTTGGCGTACAATGCAAGGTGGAAATGATGTGTGGGTTAGAAAGGTCATAATCAGTTGGCGTACAATGCCAGGTGAATATGGCGGGTGAGTTAGAAAGGTCATAATCAGCTGGCGTACAATGCCAGGTGAGTATGTCGGGTGGATTAGAAAGGGATTGGCGTACAAAGGAATATCATATAATCAGTTGGCGTACACAGCCAGGTGAATATGGCGGGTGGGTTAGAAAGGTCATAATCAGTTGGCGTACACAGCCAGGTGAATATGGCGGGTGGGTTAGAAAGGTCATAATCAGTTGGCGTACAATGCAAGGTGAATATGGTGGGTGGGTTAGAAAGGTTATAATCAGTTGGCGTACACAGCCAGGTGAATATGGCGGGTGGGTTAGAAAGGTTATAATCATTTGGCGTACACAGACAGGTGAATATGGCGGGTGGGTTAGAAAGGTGATAATCAGTTGGCGTACAATGCCAGGTGAATATGGCGGGTGGGTTGCCTCGTGATATCAATCGGAACGAGATACTTTAATTGTTCTTATTGTTTTTAAAATTGAAATCATTTGCAGATAGTTGCAAAGAGTATTTTTTATTAGCACAAGTATGTAGGTACCCAGTGAGGATCGAATACACTATGACATTAATTCAGTTCAAGTGTAATTATTAATCAATGTGTTTGAACTCAAAGGGTATTGTGTTTAATTAACTTTCTCTACATAAGTATTCTCTTCCTTTATTCAAAAATATCTATTGAATGAAGCCATTTTAAAAAAAAGTAGCCTAGAAAAATTGAACGCTTCTTTTTTTATTAATTTTTCCTTCTCATTTCGTTACCACATTTTGCGAAAGTTTTCTTCAGATAATTTGGCTACCATGCGACGAGATGCAATTGGGACACAATTAAATGAGGAAATGAATAAGCGTCACATTATCGGTGTCAATTGAAACGAATACTTTTTTCACCAGTTTGCATAAGAATCGAAGAATCGATTGTAGAAATCGGTTGAGCCCATCGACCTCACCTATTCGGCACATCGCTCTTTGTTGACTTTAGGTTTTGCATGTTATTGCCATAGCATCGATGACCTTTTGTCACCTCAGTTTTTCTTTCCACAACTCTCGACTTGCTGAAAGTTTCCTTTGGACAGAATCATTATACATTATTTACATTATTCGGATTATTGTCCTCATCTTTGTCGTCATATTTATTACCACGTTTCGGACGTTGTACGCTCCGGCTTTCTTCAGGTGGTTGGAATGTCGATTACATTATTATTGTGACGTCGTCCCCTCTGGTCGCAGCGTCGACTGTGTCGTTCGATCCCGTTCGCGACGCCAATTGTGACGTGACATGGTCCGGGGTTCTGATCCTATGATCACGACACCAGTTGTGACGTCTTTGCCGCGGCGTCAGCTGTTCACCTCGCTGCTCCAAGTGTGACGTTCTAACCCTTTGGTTAGATGAATACCAGCCTCGTCGTTCCCAACCCGCTTCCAACGCCTGGTTACCAGGGTAACTGCACTGATCTCCGGTCTGCCTACCCACGTTGTGATTAGATCTTAGACAGACGGGATCAAACAGGGATTGGGCCGTATGCAAGCTGAGTCCAACGGGGTGATAACACACAAGAAAAATAAAACTCACAAGTTCAAAATATTGAAGAAAAAAGGTAACAACTTTTATATCTAATTGTTCGTTACACAAGATTATTCCTACCTCCCTGACCCGTTCTGTGGACCGTGGCACCAAGCTTCTATCATACAACTTTAAGGCTTCGAGTTGCCTGCTCTCTAGAAATTTGCATTTCGGGGTGTGGTTTGGTTTCGACACTGGGCGCTGATCTCTACCTGTCGTTCACGGCTGATCTCTCTCGCCGTCCGTGGCTGCAACTAACTCTCTCTTCAGAGTCTGAATTATTGTTCACTCATCTCTGCCGTCAGTGCGCGAATTAACTTTTTCTCTTCGGCTTCGGTTGGACGAGCTTATTCACTTCGACTTGGGTTGGACGAATTTCTCTTCTTAGGCCAAACGAACTGGCCTTTCTTGCCCGCAAAGGGGCGAATGAACTGGGGCCCGCAGCCCGCGCTCAAACTCCCTCGCCGTCCCGCGGCGCAGCTGCAACAAAAAAAAAAACTCTTCTCTTCAGAGTCTGAATTATTGTTCACTCATCTCCGCCGTCAGTGCGCGAATTAACTTCTTCTCTTCGGCTTCGGTTGGACGAGCTTATTCACTTCGGCTTAGGTTGGACGAATTTCTTCACTTCGGCTTGGTTGGATTCCAACTTCTCCACTTAGGCCAAACGGGCTGCTTCATTTCGGCTTCTCTTGCCCGCAAGGGGGCGAATGAACCGGGCCCGCCGCCCGCGCTCAAACTCCCTCGCCGTCCGCGGCGCAACTGCAACTAACTCTCGCCGTCCGGGCTGCAACTCCTTCTCGCCGTCCGGGCTGCAACTCAACTTCTTCTCTTCGGCTTCGGTTGGACGAGCTTATTCACTTCGACTTGGGTTGGACGAATTTCTCCGCTTAGGCTTGGTTTGATTCCAACTTCTCCACTTAGGCCAAACGGGCTGCTTCACTTCGGCTTCTCTTGCCCGCAAGGGTGCGAATGAACCGGGCCCGCCGCCCGCGCTCAAACTCCCTCGCCGTCCGCGGCGCAACTGCAACTCATCTCTGTCGGTTGGGGTCCTGCTTTTATTGACGCAGTCAAAAAACTGGGGTGGGTCTGTCGGCGCCAGGGTTTTCTTGATAATCCTAAATACGTATTATTTCTGATTAGGGATTTTCCATTTTCGGTAACTTACTTTCACTCCTACTTCCTTACTGTGCCTCTGGGGGCGTATACCCGCTCCCCTGGTCCTTCGTATGTCAGGTGACCGCTCTCAACCAATGGGGTCCTGGTCGGGCATCTTTCCTCCTCCCTCATGTATCATGTGACCGCCTTCGGCCAATGAGACTCTGGTCGGTATCTTCCTCCTTCCTTCGTGACGTCTTTAATCGGGCGTGGACAATCCGTGGCTTTGTTCTGGGGGAAGAAACACCTTGCTTAAAGAAACAAAAATTTAAATTGTCCTTTTCGTATTTGATCGAAATGACGATCCCGGTTTCTTTTACACGCGGTATTTGTCAAACATTTTATCGCTAATTGGATACGATCTAAGAAAGGGATTTCTTAGACCTGTCGGCGTTTCTCTGAACGCAACAAAATATTTCATTCTCCTCCGGCCGATAATAAAAATCTGTATTATCTCAAAAAGCGACATCACCTTGGGTGGCTTTTTCCAACTCTAGAAATTGTCTGGGTTCTCGTATTAATGGATTGTCTGTATCCTTAGATAAACTTCCCACCTGTTACCTATCATATTTTTTCCATTGTCTCTAAACTTTATTTCTTCAACCAAATTGATAACAAACTTCCATCCTCCGCGGACACGGAAGTAGGTCAGGTGCTTGACCTGATATTTTTGACATCTGATATGTGCCAGTCGAGCGTGTGTGTTTTCGCTTACGACCTGGTTTCGTATTATTTATTTTTCTCCTTTCTTTCCTCTTCCTCTTCTTTTCTTTCTTTCTCCCAGATCGCCTGAACGCAATTAAAGAATTATTCTCAACCCCGAAATATTTTTCAGCTCTAAATAATTATCAAATGGTTAACAAACCGAAAAAACAAATCATGTATTTATGAATATCTCTTTTCAGTTTTCTAATTATGCATGGTGCCACATTATTACTCTCACTGGGGTAGAATTTTCTAGTTTTACGTGCCATGTTTAATGGATGTCAGTTATCAGTTATCTGAAGAAGACCGGAAACGTTGTAATAAATATGACGACAAAGATGAGGACAATAGTCCGAATAATGTAAATTGTGTACATAATACCTCATCTCAGAAATATTGACAGATACAGAATCATTCAATTTGCAAAAATTCCTTCATATCCCAAAGATGGCTTTTCTTTCTTTAGTTGTTCCTTTGAGCAAATTCTAACGCTCGTAAAGCCATTTTCATCTTTTTGGGTTTTGATTTTGATGTTTTTATACTTTTCCGTTCCTTTCATATTTTTCAGATCGATATTTTATTTTGGCATCTTTTATTATTATTATTATTATTGAGTGAGTAAGCAGTATAGTGACTCTGAAGTGCAGATATATAAAGCCCATCATGACACCCAGTTTGATAAGGACATAGCGATATTTTTTTGCGATATGATGACAGCTTTTGATAAAAGCAGTGCATCTCCTTGCATGTGGGGCTCAGTTAAAATACCTTAATAATCGGCTAAACCAGTATATACTGATTATCTACGGTAATGGATGTTCTCATATATCTAAATGTAACACCTAAGTCGCCTTGGCTGACTCATCATTATCATCATCAGCAGCAGCAGCCCTGCTTCAATCGTCGGGGAGAGGAGGCCTGAATACAGAAGAAATAGACTACATCCTCCAGGCGTATTAGTATCTGCAATTGTTTGACTGAATGGGAATGAGCACCCTTGAAGGGGGGGGCGCCTGGAACTTTCTGATTTACAGATTCTTTACAACTATTTTTCAGGCTTGGATTTTTCATTAAGTATCAGGTTGGTCATCGATCCTATGGAATTCGTTTTTATGGTTGCTCAACCACTTCTCTTTTGATTTTACTGCTTGAAAAATTAGTTTTCCTTATTCTGCAATATTTCGTTTTCTCTAGAGTACTGAATATGTCTCCAGACTATCGTCCATGGCTAAGATATTTAGATTTGTTTTTCAATAAAAGCTGTTGTTACTGTTTGCAGGGTTTTATGTTTTATTGACTCATCTGTAGCTTTTATCTACTTTGAGAACATTTACTTTGAGATCGTTTATTATTATTATTATTATTATTATTGAGACTGAACTCCTCTTCGATGTTTCAGCCGAGGTGACAATTGTCATATCTCAGCTCTTATCTGCAGCCTCGAGACACGACACTTTTTTTTAGCGCATGAACTGTTCGAATTAACTCTGCCACCTGCGCACTCTCAATGATGTCAAATATCCCCAATGAGCCTTGCAAGACATAGAGAGTTTTCTTCGATTTGACATTTTTTTCTGGTTTTCTACCCTTTTTCTTTCTTTCTTTCTTTCTTTCTTTCTTTCTTTCCTTCAAATTTGATTTTACTATTTCTCTCTTGGAAGAACCTTTCTCGACACTTTCCTCTCTTTCTTCCCCCCGCTCTCTTTTAATTTCTGTCTGTTTTTATACTTCATTCTCCCTCCATTATTTTTTTTCATTTTCATTTTTTGTTTATGAAAGATTTTTTTCCTTCTTTCCCATCATCCATTTTTTCTGTTCATCTGCACTTTTTATTTTTCGACATTTTCGACTTCCTTCTTATTTTTCTTCTTTTTCTTCTTTGTATTATTATTATTATTATTGAGTTTTTTCTTCTGATGTTTATCCTTCTTCTGCGTTTACTTCATCTTCCACTTCTTCTTCTATTTCTTCTTCCACTTCTTCTTCTATTTCTTCTTCTTCTTCTTCTTCTTCTTCTTCTTCTTATTATTATTATTATTATTATTATTATTATTATCTTTTCATGGTCTTATTTCCCAATATTTTAAAATACATTTTGTCGGTTAAATTCATCGTTGTTTTTGCTTTTCTTTTATAAAATTATTTTTTTTATCTTCCTTTCAGGAATTTCTTTGACATTTTTTTTCTGTTGCTTTTATGAACGCCATTTTTCAAATGTAAGATGAAGGCGCAAAGATCTCTCGTCTGCCCTGCGCCCTCTACTTGTCGACATGCTCTCCGTCATTATTCCCTCGTCAATATCGAAATTCTGTTCACTTGGCGGATTAAATGGACACTGATTACAAGGGCCATACTTCATATCAGCCTCCAATGCTTAATATGCACTCGGCCAAGTCCAGACCTGATATTCAACCAAAGTTATAAAGATTTTCACAACGTTTGCAGATTGAAGTGTGCCCACTCAGTTAAAAAGTCTTTTTTTCCCTCGTGCAAGAACGCGTGACACTATACGAAATACCTATCAGGAGAAGATATATATATCTTTGCTAAAAATTCAAAACTCAAAAATACATCGCAGGCTACCATCTTCCATGGAAATATTTACGAGTTTTCTGAGGAAAAATGAGAAAAAAAGAAAAAGATAGCGATATGTATGTACTTTTGGAAACATTCGAAGCCAAATATAAGACCACGTGATCGATCGTAGGAAGAAATAAAAGATGACAAAACCTCATCGACCAGTCCTAATAGACGTGTAAATGAAGGGTCCTTTGTGTTGAAGATTTATGCCAACAAACACCCCCTCTCTTTAATTTGAAACATACATTTATGTCCGTACTTGTATTAACATCCATGCACTCCCCACCCACACAAAAGCTTTTATGGAAATAAACAAATGTAAAGAAACTCAAACTTACATTGAGAAATACAAAGTACATAGGCACATTAAGAATACTAAACATACACACAAACAAGGAAACACAAGCTTACAAGAACATGCACTCATTTATATATATATATATATATATATATATATATATATAATGAATATATATATATATATATATGTATAATATATATATATATATATATATATATATATATATATATATATGGATTTGTCTGATGATCGCAAAAGCGTGTAACCCAAGGTTAAAAACTAATATCCATATAACTGAATATATATATATATATATATATATATATATATATATATATATATGTGTGTGTGTGTGTGTGTGTGTGTTGTGTGAAAAATTTCTCAGAGTTAACTTGTAGAAAAAGACAATATTTATAAATGTAAAAGACAATAGGAGGGTCTTAATATTAGCCGACGCGTTTCGTCCAGTCCAATGTGAACTTTTTCAAGGGAAAAACGAAATTAATTTATTAAAACAAAGTAACTATTAATAACAAAACAAAACATTCATTTCGTTTTTGCCTTGAAAATGCCCACATTAGACGAAACGCGTCGGCTAATATTACAGTTTTCCTATTGTCTTTTTTTATATATATATATATATATATATATATATATATATATATATATATATATATATATATATATAAACGCAAACATACAAAGACACAAGTTAACATAAAAGAGAAGACGAACACATCGAAGGAAGACAAACATACTAGGGAATACAAATGCAGGAGGACACACCGATACAGAGAAAAGCAAGCATATATATATATATATATATATATATATATATATATATATATATATATATATATAAGGAGGCTAAGAGTGATAGGGGGATGTTGGCCGTTACCTTATAAGAAAACATTCGAAACGCCAATCCTGTATTTAATTTTTCTCTTAAAATTATTTTTCAGGAAAATAGGTTTCTTTACTGTTATCACTCTTTCAAGTATTGACAAAGGCTTCCTTTCTAACCTTTTACTTGAATAATCAACATATTGATTATGTCATTGTTATCCACTCGAGTTACATGTGCAATCCATTTTAATTCTCTCGCACTTCCCGCCTGTGGAACTCTCTACCGGCTTCTTGATTTCCAGTCAACTTTCATTAAATGTAACCGTCTGCTTTCTTAATCCCTGTTCTTTTATTGTTCTCTCTCCTGAAAAGCGTTTTTCTCTTGTTCCCTAACACTAAGTAACGCATTGCGTCTTAGTGGCTTTATTGCCTTGCTTGGGTGAAATGATAAAAAATAGGTTCCCATGTTTAAATATTGTCAATGTGTCCCATCCTGCCTGCACGGGTGGATGAACAAATATCTTCTCTTTCGTTCCGAAGTTCATAGATAATGAATTTGTAGAAGAGACTTGTCGAAATATTATTGCAACAACAATAAAGAGATTTCATTTGTCGAAGCAAGACATGGAATAAAATTTGAACAAAAATGTTTGAAACAAAATCACTGAAATAGAATTTATGCAACAAATATTTCATTCACTTTGTGCCAGTTCTTCCGTGAGATCTTCACCAAACAAAGATAAAATAACAAAGATTTTATTCCGACCTATTAAAATAACACATTGCTGACTATGTCTTTCTCTTTTTTTAGTTCCTTATATTTTGTATTTACTGAAAAGGAAAATATTAGAAAGGCAAAATAAAATTAGCTAAAATATATCTAATGTTATTGCTGGGATCTATTTTAATCCAGAGAACTCAGTGTAACCTTACCGCCCATTAGAATAGCAAGTACAGAATAAAACATCTAATTATTGATTCCACGACGTTTGGAACCGAAGAATTGTTCACGCTTCGATGGCAAAATTTTTGCCATATTAGTATTATTATTGTTCTGCTTCAGCAATGGGAGAAACAGAACATAAACTCAAACTTTTTTCACATTTTCCATAATGATACAGTAACTAACTTATTCTGGACCTGCTAATTCAGCCCGAATTACACATTAACCGTCAAAATAGTTATACAACTTTGTTATTTTGATTGCTGCTTTTATCTTAGTCAAATAACAAGTTGTGCTTCTACTGGCATTCGTGTCTACACACTTTATTCGCGATCCGAAATCACGGAAAATAATGTTTTTTTTTTAAATCACGTATGCACGCTTTTGTGGAACCTTTGGGTAAAGTGTTAAATTGTGAATCTCTCCTGCAAAAAAAAAAAAGAAAAAAAAAAGAAAAAACAAACATTCTCTGGATAGCCATCCATCAAAGAAATGTCTGTGTATCATTTTTGTAGTCATGTTAATAAAACCAACACTAACACATTTCAGATTGTTGTGTTTTGTTTAGGATCTTTCTCAATAATCAGGTAGAGTCAAGGACGTAATTCACACAACACAAAAAATATGTCTTCGTTTTTAAACAGAGACAAAATTGTTGATTGTGGATTATAAAAAAAACTAGTTACAAAAGCAAAGATCTAGTTTCATCCAAGAAAGAAAACCTCTAATTCTGTTGCACGTATAATATATATCCCAATTCAAGATTATGTTTTATTGACAACCTACATATCTTCTTTAAAGAAAGACAATCAAATAATTTATAATCACCAACATAGAAATGAGCATTAAACAAAACGATTGTATGCAAATGCGAACTTTTTTCCGCGTGAAGGTTTTTTTGTCTACAGATTGTGACATTAATTTCTGCCAAATTTAGTTTTGAATATTGCTTATTCACTGATAATCAATACATTCGAATACTTTAAAAATTCTGTTTCGCTTTACATATCTTTTCGGTTGATATTATTCAGTAGAGCTTTAAATAATCTTAATCCTGTCATAACAAGTTCTCATCGTATGGGAGGCAATCTCTTTCGAAGCCTTTTATTTTTGTTCTGAATTTAAACCACGACAGTTAAATTTAAAGATCTGATGAATCTATCAAAAAGTTTCCATATCTAAAAAGGGAAGTCCTTAACATCGTTTTGCAAATAATCTTTAAATAATTCCAAAAAGTAACGTTACATTTTTTTCTTTTATAATTTTTCATTAAAATAAACATTTATAAGGGAAATTAGGTGTTTTTTCGTATGTAGATGTTTGTGTGCATGCGTGACTTTGTGTTCTTGCCTAGATGCGTATGATTCAGTGTCTGTGTGTGTGTTTTTAAGTGTTGCCGTTTCTTTGTGTAAATGCAACTGGCCATCTGAATGATAGCTGAACTGACCCTTTGTATTTATACATGGACATGTACACTAAATAATCCAGCACTCTGATAAATGAGATCAACTAACAAAAGGGATGAAAAAAAAAAGAAAAACATTATAAATGAATTCAGATAGATTTAAAAAAATATTTAAAAAGTTCTAAAATCCTCATCACCCATTGTTCGTGTGCATGTGTTGCCCTGCATAACAAATTTAGTTCGATGAAGTCCTGAAGAATGAAACACATCATAACTAAACTTTTTACACACATATACGAAAAGGTGTGTGCGTGTGCGTGTGCGTGTATATATATATATATATATATATATATATATATATATAGTCTTAAGGTGTGCTATATGTATGGGATAAAGTGCTCGATATCATAGATAGAGCGTGTGTAAATATAAAAGTGAACATAGAAGTCAACACTTAGAGGCGACAGTCTGTTTCAATAAACAAAGTAGCAAACCATTATGACCAAAATATTAGTTAGACTAAAAAATCAAACCAAAAAATCGAACGAAAAAAATAGCTATAACTGTTATATAACGATAAAAAATAAATAAATAAAATAAAATAAAATAAAAATAAATAAATAAATACTACGTTACTTAAAAATCGAAAACCGAAACGAGAAAATATAGAAGTAAAATAAATTGACCTAAATTCATCCAAGTAAATAAATAAACTAACCAATCCCGATAAAGTTACCGTTAGAAAAAACAAATAAAGATAATCAACCCAAATAAACACAAATTAAAAACTCTTTCTGCCAAAATAATAGTTAGAATAAACTACAACAA